ATATGGCAAAACCTCAATTAAGATGTTTCAAGAAACAGGATTTTCTAGTGTCCTTGATGCTAAACAGAAACCCCCTTACACTGAGATGAATGCCACTATTGGCTTCAAACCTCATTGGTGAACCCCCCTCCCCAGTATATTGATACGTTTTCTTGCTTAAAGGCATTGAAGATGACAATTCTCTTATTTATGTATGTATGTATGTATGTGGTGCTGGGGATCAAATGCAAGGCTTCATATACATTAGGCAAGTACAATACCACTGAGCTACACCCCCAGCCCAACAGACTTTTTGAAGAGAATTCTGGGTCTCATTTAGAATCTTGGGGCTTAAATATTCTGTTTTTATCAGATGGGGCTGTAGAGGTAGAAAATAAAGAAAAATGGGGCCTAGATCTGGCTTATACTCTGCAAAGTGAAGATGGTGCTACACAATTAAGTCATTCAAGGAATCTGTGAATTGTATTCCTTCTGGTTAATTGAGGTTTTCCTATTCTTAAATTACAATCTTGAGATGGCTTCCAGGTTTAACTGAGCATAATCTATATGCTGGTCACTTGCGTAGGCAAACCCCAAATCTGGGTGCTCATTGCTATCATGGTTGCATGGGGACTTTGGGCTCATTCTGTAACCTTAAATTCTGCCTAATGGTCTCTAATTAATTTTGTGGATGAAGCTCTTGCAGCAGATTCATTGAAGGCAAGTTCAGTTAAAGACTCTTCCTCTTCCTTCTTTTGCCATCATTTGCTTCCCCTTCCCCCCTCTCTTGTTTTTCTCTCCCCTTCTCTTCTCTCATTCACTGTCAGGAAAGACTACCTTTGAAGGGACAATTCTGTATCGAGCTGCACCTGGAAAGACGGAGGGCCACAGACGCTATTACAGTGAGTGACCTTAACAGCAGGAGGCAATTGTAAAGATAAGATCTGGGTACTTGTGTTTTTTGATGCAGCTGCCCTTTCCTGAGCTGCTCATGCTTATGCTCTTATGCCAAGTGTCTGTGTGAATTTCTGATCCAAGGATATGGGCTTATTTGCCTACGATAAGTGTCATCTCCTTGGTGTGTGCTACAAGAACATTCCAACCATCAGCCCCTGGCGCTTTCTTGTTTGCTTTCTGCCTCTATCATGTATGTGACTTGCATGCATGAACCATGTGGTGCAGAGAAGGGGAAAGAAGCATTCGTCGTGGCACATGTATTTGTACCAGTGTCTTTGGGCTTCCGGGATACTAGAAGATGGCTTTTGGGAGAGACGTCAACCTCTCACATTTATTGCTTTTTCTCAGTGGGTTATTAGAAACTGCTAAACCATTTTGTCATTGCTTGGTTCAAAGAAGAAATAAGATTTTGGCATGAAAGTCCATGCCAGAAATGGTGTTTTGCTTTGCTCATTCAGCTAATCACCACATGGCAGATTTCTTTTTGGCAGGACCAATATGTAGCCTTTTGTGTTGTGAAATAAGGCTGCCAAAAGTTGAGGGGAAAGAGATGAATGAACTCATCTCATGATGCCCTTAGAATAGTTCCTGCTACATAGTCAACACTATATATGTGTGTGTTAAATTTAAGATAAATAAGAATGGCTCTGATTAGTGCCAGAAGAGTACATTATACAAAGTACAGGACCGACAGGAGCAATTTAGAAGAGACTTTGTTCTTTTGTTACCTGAAGGAAGGGCATCCACCTTAGTGCATGTTTATACGTATGCATATAGGCATATGTATATGGATGTAAGAAAAGAAAAGGTTCAGACGTGAATGCTAGAACCATGCTTCTCAAACTATTTGAGTGAAGCTTATTTTTCTTCCACTGTGGACAGATGCATGGTCCTACTGCACATGACTGCTCCACATGCAGTGTGCTGCCTGTGCCTCACCAAAAGAGTTTAATAGCACCTGGATTGGCCTGTGCCCCATTCACGTGGACACATCAACTGGCCATATGGTTGGAAGTCACACCAGTGCATACCGCTAAAATGCTATAGTCATTTCCAAACTTACATACTTTTTGCACTTATCTCATGATGTCCTAGTAATGAGTCCTTCATGAACTGGGCCAAGTCCATAGTAAATTCTTTGGATTGCACTGCCCAAGAGTGTCATCTGGCATTCTGAGAATGACATGGGGACGTTTTATGGGCTAATGTGCATGAAGGACTGCAGTAGCTAAAAGATGCAGCACCAAATTAATGTGAAAGTGGAGTTATCTTTCTTCTCTTCCAAAGGGAAGGATCTGGATATTGAGTTGTTTTACCAATGCATATATTCAGCTATTTAATTTACATACTTCAAAATGACAGAACCAACCAGGTGCGGTGGTGCATGCCAGTAATCCCAGCTACTCAGGAGGCTGAGGCAGGAAGGATCACAGCCTCAGCCCCTGAGTGAGTCCCTGTCTCAAAATACAAAATAAAAAAAGGGACCCGGTGGGTGGCGCACACCTGTAATCCCATTGGCTTGGGAAGCTGAGACAGGAGGGTCGTGAGTTCCAAGCCAGCCTCAGCAATTTATCGAGGCACTTAGCAACTCAGTGAGACCCCGTCTCTAAATAAAATACAAAATAGGGCTGGGGATGTGGCTCAATGGTTAAGTGCCCCTGGGTTCAATCCCCACTGCTGCTTTAAAAAAAAAAAAAAAAAAAAAAAGACGACAGAAACAGGCTGCCAGAGTTTCTGAAAGAAAAATCTGCCGTGTGTTTCCTTCTCAAGTCATGCTTGTGTGGTTGAATGACCGTGCAATCTCTCCCTGTGTAATATAGAATCTATCTCACAGAGATTAATATAAAGTTATTAAGATGAGCCCAAAGGCAGAAAATCCCTAAAATTGGAAACTTGGTGAAATTAGGATGGCAATGGTTAAAAATGTTATGGTTCTAGTTAATGGGTAATGCTAGAAGATCCCTTTGAATACCCTCTCCGAAGAACTAAAACAGGCTTGCCCTAATCCATCTGCCCTGCTGCCTTCTGGTGGTGATGGTGGTGGTGGGAGGGAGGAGGGTGGTGATGGTTTCTTTCCACTAATCATTATTTTTATTTCACCTTCAAATGGTTCTTTCCAAACCAGAAAAGAATATACAAGCCGTTTATCACATAGAAAGAATCCATACGGCAAAATGAGAACATGTTAAAAGGAAAATGACACAATATTTAGACTTTGAAATTATATCTCCAGCAGGAATATTTCCAAAAACAATGAGCACATAAACACATGAATGGATAACTAACCCAGGGGGTTTTTCCATGTTTGCCCACTGAAATCTATTCCTGAGTTGCAGCTGACCCCCTTGTTGTGGGCCGCTCCTCATTGTTCTGTGCTCTGTTCTTGCTCACAAATGCTGTTCTTTTAGTTAATTAAAATCTGCACCAGGGACCTTCTTCCTCCCCTACCCTCTGGCTTACGAATTCAGTTTTATGAAAAATAGCAGTAACAACAAAGAAAACCATTGTTTAAGGATTTGATTTTGAAACTTGTTAGCAGTCTCTAATGACCTTTCTATATGTTTCGGGTTTTCATTTAATAGTTTCTTCCTGCACTGAGATGTCCTCATTTGAATGACTTCAGCATCTTATATAAAAATACCATAAAATGTGAGCAATTATTTGGTGTATCGTTTTTATGGACTAGGGGGCCACCTGAACTGTAGGAAGACAATGCAGGATCGGCCTATAGAGAACAAAATTTGATGACATACTTTCATCCTAAGAGCATCCTTATGATCAGAAGATATGTAATAAATGGTCAGGAGCTATGCTACACATTTAGAAGCTTTGAGAGACAGTTTAATGATAAAATTTAGTATTCCATAAAATTTCCTCTGAATCCTGCCCTTTGATGGCAAAATTGATGTACTGATTATCCAAAGAAGAATGTATACCCAGAAACTTAACTAGATCCAGATAGGCTCTTCCTTTTAGGAACATGATTGTGAGGAAGCTGGGGGAAAAAAGAATCTGGGGAGGTAAGTGTCCATAATGTCTTGCTGATACCTGGTTTATGCCTCCCAGCACATGCCACAGGAGGTCAAAGGAAGAGTGTCATGTCCCCAGTGTTCTTTGGAAAGGGATTCAGCTGTGGGAAGAGGATGGTGTTAAAGGAGGGAAGGAGAGCCATAGATTTGGGGGATTCTGGCCTCTGGAAGGGCAGCTTTCTTTCCCTCTTTAACAAACACCATCGTCTTTCTAGTGAAGCCATCTTAATGTCAAGTTTGGTTCAGTGCTTTCCTAGAGAAACACGTCTGCATGTGTTTATTCCTCGTGAAACCATCCAAAGAGATTTAATTCTTTGGCAGTCATAATTTTGTGTGGTTTCTTTAATTGCTAATGTGTTTAAATCGCTTTAAGCTTTACAGTTTCCCTTTAGGAAACGTTACTTTCATTGCTAATTGCTAATTGACTTGACTCAGAGTTGGAGGTACAGTATGTGGTACTGACTGGGTGGGGAGGTGAGGAAGGGGGCTGGGAGAGTTGTTATTACACAGGCTATAGCCAAGTTTGGATCACAACCAGCTGAAGAGGGGTGAAATGTCATTTGTTCAAAGAGGTCTCCTGGAAATTAGGTTTCCTGAGAAGTTATTTTGATTCACTGTTTTCAAAAAAGGCTGGGGGGCCAGGTGTGGTGGTACACACCTGTAATCCCAGTGGCTCTAGAGGTTGAGGCAGGAGGACTGCAAGTTCAAAGCCAGCCTCAGCGTCTTGGTGAGGCCCTAAGAACTCAGCGAGACACCGTTTCAAATTTAAAAAGGGCTGGGGATGTGGCTCAGTGGTTAAGCATCTCTGGGTTCAATCCCCTGTACCCGTCACTCCCCACAAAAAGGCCAAGGGTTGGGAGATGAAACAAAACTCAGCTAACTAAACAGCATATTCAACATACTGACTTCAAAAGCCCAGTGCAAGTTATCTTCTACCCAGTAACACTTGTAGAGTTGCCTCCTGGCTGGTTGTGAAACTCTTCAGGCTCTGGATGATTTCTGAGTTCTTTCTCTCCCCATCCCCACTCTTGACAGGCTTAAGGGAAACCACAGGCTCTGAGAGTGATGGGGGTGACTCCAGCAGTACCAAGTCTGAAGGTGCCAACGGGACAATGGCAACTGCGGCCATCCAGCCCAAGAAAGTTAAGGGAGTGGGCTTTGGAGATATTTTCAAAGACAAGCCAATCAAACTAAGACCAAGGTCCATTGAAGTAGAAAACGACTTTCTGCCAGTAGAAAAGGTATGTTTTTATTTTATTTCAGTATAATGTGGCATATCCGAAAGTGCATTTTGTGGGGTTTGGTGTTGGAGACTTCTAATGCCTCTTTTAGGGTTTCACTGTCCTCATGTACTGGTTATTTGCCCACCCTGCTTTTTAGCTCTTCCTCTGTGTGGGAATACATTCCTTTAAAAGACTCATGCTCTAGTTTTCTGTTTCCTTTTTTCTGGCTCTCTTGTGTTAGTCTGCTTTGCCACTATAATGAAATACCTGAGATAGTTAACAAATAAAGGTAAAAAATTGGGGCTGGGGTTGTGGCTCAGTGGTGTAGCACTTGCCTAGCATGTGTGAGGCACTGGGTTTGATCCTCAGCATCACATAAAAATAAATCAGTGAAAGTATTGTGTCCATCTACAACTAAAGAAACTATATTAAAAAAAGATAAAAAGATTATTTTGGCTCACAGTTTTAGAGGTTCTAGTCTGATTGGTCAGCCCATTGTTTTGGGCCTGTGGTGAGGCAGCACATCATGGCAGGAACACGTGACAGGGCAAAACCACTCACTTCATGAGCCAGGGAACAAAGAGAGGAAAGTGCTGGAGTCCCACAGTCTCCTTCAGAGGCATGCCCCCAATATCCTAAGGATCTGCCATAACACTCCAGCTCTCAAAGGTTCCATGACCTCTCAATAGCATCACCCTGGGGATCAATCCTTTAATACATGGGTCTTTGGAGGATATTTGAGAACCAAAGTATAGTGCCTCTCTAGGGAATGTTTCTCAAGATGACTTTTGAGATGGCCTCACACTTCTCCATCTCCTTTCTTGAAAAGCTCCTCATACCTGTACTTGATATATGCCTTTAACACCTTTCACATACCGAGAAATTTCTCTCCTTTTCTTGTACACTTCTCTAGTGTTTTGTGCTTTGGTGTATTGACTGTGGCTTTGCAATAGAGAAAAGGGATTGTATATTTTTTTCTGTAAGAGTAAGTTGAAGATGATTTCAGACTGCTGAAAAGAAGTCTCCTGCATGTGTGAATGGTGGAAATGGCCTGCATTGACTCCCTGGGTTGTTCCCATCAGGGAGCTGGCTGTTTTCTTCTGTCTCTACTTCTGGGTTGGCAAGTCAGAGACTGTGTGTTGCTGCTGAGTACATGGTTGCCATAGTAACACACCCAGAGCCATCACGCTTGTGGCTGCTGATGACGTCTACTGTGGTACACTTCTAAGCATCATAGCCTTGCTTAGGAGTTAATAAATACTGTGGAATTTTCCAAATTATAATAAGCTACACTCGTGTTGTGCTTAAAGAATGTTTGTTAATTTGATTTAGTGCTGAAATTTTTGCTTTGACATTTGTGCCAGCAGGTTTGGAAGATGGAGAATTCGTCACATCTCTAATGCAGGTTTATCAGTGGCTTTTAAATGTTTTCATTTTTCAGTGAGATGAAATTTTAAGGGTTGCATCATTTTCTGCAGCTGTAGAACTTCCACCCCATGGCCCCAGCAACCTTGCCCCATGTCATCATGTATTAGAAACAGATTCTGAAAAGGGAGCTTTTGGGATACTTAATCCCTTTAGAGATGAATAAGGGAGAAAGGGAAGAAACCTTGAAATTAGAGACCATTTCTTCCTTTGCTGAAGTTGCTTGGAGCCAGCATTATTTCTTTCAGTATTCAATATATGATGTTTCTCAAGATCTGAGAACTATCTAGTTAGTATCCAGTTAGTGAGCTTGTGAACTCACTTCTGTTTCACATGATCACATTCAGATTCCTATAAGTATTTACAAAAGACCAAGTCACCATCTTAGAAAGGAACAATGGATGGAGTTTTTCTCCATTTTATTCAAGTGTTTGAAGTAAACTTGACCATTGACTCAATCAACAAATAGTTCATTCCCTTCATTTGGTTTATAATTTTGGTCTTTTTTTATTCTGTGTGTAGGAAGACATTGTGTGTGTGTGTGTGTGTGTGCATGTGTGCGCATATGTGACTATTATTATTGCTGATATTTGATTTAACTGCCAATAATATTGGGTTATTATTAATAGCAATATCAACGAAAAATACTAATTCCCAAGTTTATTTATTTATTTTTGAGATAGTCTCATTATGTTGCCCAGGCTGACCTTAAACTCCTGGGTTCAAGTGATCTTCCTGCCTTAGTTCTGAGTATTAGGACTACTTGTGCATGCCACCGTACCTGGCTATTCCAGATATAGGTTTAACTTCCTACTTCAGTATTTTTGCTTGGAGATCTTAAATTCATATCAGTGTATCCAAACCCAAATTCCACATCATCTCTCTCCTCTACCCACATATATCTTAGTTTTAGGCTGCACCAACTCCCTCTTGTCACTCAGAGCAAAAACCCTGGGGTTGACCTTGACTGATTCATTAGGAAATTCTATCAGTTCTGCTTCCACAGTATGTCCAGAATCCACCCACCCATGTCTCATTACCTTCACTACTTCCTAATAAAGCTTCCTCCATCTCCTCACTAATGTACACTATGTGCTTAGAACAGTGCACAGCACATAGTAGGTGCGCAATAAGTATTTGTCAAATGAATAATATTAAAAGCTGTATAATAGAACTTTAGAGATTACAGACATCTATAGAAAGGGGTGACTGGGTGGAATACTGGAATAGCTGCATAGTTCAAGTTAAAGTAATTGTATGGTCAATGCATCTTTGTGAAATAGATTTATTGCATTAGTATTGATGGTATGAAGCATTATTATTAATAGCAATATCAATGAAAAATATTAATTCCATCAGAGTTATGTAATATATATGCATGTGTGTCTCCTATGTGTGCATGTGTGCGTGTGTCTTGTTTCCTGATTTGTTTGCAGAATGAAACCATGTGCTGGAAACTCCCTTAACCCACTTCTCAGTGTGAAGCCTCTGGGGAAAACATAAATGTCCCAGCCTGCTCTAATGGCCGTGGACAATTTTTATAACATCTAAGAAGATTTGAAACTATCTGTGCTTCCTGTGATTGGTACCATGGGTAGTTGCATAGATTTATGGATCCATTATGTCATTATACAACCTGGCACAAGAGCTGATGAGTGTGATATTGTTTTATTAGTGTACAGCCTGGTTTTCATCACTTCTGAGATGGTTTTGTGTCCAGGATTTATGTTTAAGGAAGAAAGTTCCCTTTGAGAATGGAGCTGCTCTTTTGATTTGGCAGAAGCACAAATTGGATCTTGTATGAAAGCATTTGAAAGGTTAGACCCAAGCATGCCTCCTGCTTAGGCTGGGATAGTTGACCTTCTGACATGACTGGTTTGATAACTCGGATGAGGGAAAAAGAGAAGTTGATTATTATTATTGTCTGCAGGCATTAAATTGTACTTTCCATTCAAGTTTGCAAAGTATTGACATCCACTTTTCTGCATCAGTAATTTTGTGCTTATTTTGATTATGTTTTAATCCATATCGCCCAGAGATAGTGATTAGATTATATGCCAGGAGAGAGATTGTTTAGCATCCCCCTGCTGACTATGAATAAAGAAATAATGTAGGTATTCTTCTCTTATTAAATTATAAGGAAGGACTCCATTTATGAACCTTTTTAATACTCCCAAATGGATATGCCTGTGAATGATTTGTGTAATGCACCACTTAAGTGAAATATTTACAGATGAAATGATATAATGTCTGGGATTTACTTCCTGTAGACTGGAAGATGGACGAGTTGGTAGGGCATAGAAGAAATTATATTGGTCATGAGTTGATAACTGTTGAAAGTGAGTGATGCATATATGAGAATTTGCTATACTCTGCTCTATTATTGTGTGTATTGGAATTTTCCCTGGATTAAAGGTTCAAGAAAAAATAACTCGTAGAAAAATCTACCATTTAAACTAAGAATAAATACAAGTATGTGCTGCATCAAAATAATGAAAACATTGTGTAGTAAAAGATGAACCAGGTTAAATATCAGAAGTTTAGAGGGGCATGGTTCCATTGTCCTAGCAGACTGACCTTGTCAAAGTTGACTTTAGTTGGAACATCTATAAAACGGGAATAATCTTTTTATGTATTGTACCTCATAGAACTTCAAAAAAAGGCATGTTAGCTGAAAATACTTTGTAAGCTATACATGTAACTCATTTCAACTAGTGTTTGTCAAGTGCTCACTGTTTGCACAGCACTGGGGATACAATGATAAAGACATATCACTATTCTCAGGGACATATCACTGTCCTCATGGAGTCACAGAAAATACAAGCAATAATAATATGGTCATAATCAGGCTGAGAACACAGTGTAGTATCTTGTAGGAGCTCTCAAACATGGCAGGAAGTCATTAGGAAGACTGGAGAGCATGTGTTTATGTGTATATACACCTACTTCATACAAGAAGTGATTTTAGACTGAGAATTATGGGTCTACTAGGCATTCATCAAGCAAAAAGAACAGAGTTAGCAAGGGAAAGCAGCATATATAATGCCTCAAAGAGGGAAAGAGAGCACAGATAGTGTGTAAAGGCTCCAGCAGAAAGTGGGGAAATATGAGAATGGGGGCAGAAGCAGGGCCCAAATCATGAAGAACCTTATGAGACTTGTTAGGAGATTTGGACTTGATCTTGGGGGCAATAGAGAACCAGTAAATGTTTTAAGCATGAAAATAACATAACCAGATAGGTTATTTAGAGAAAGTGTGAGGAGTAGATTACAAAAGACATGGTGAATAAAATTCAAAAAACAGGTGACAAATTATATAAATTATATAACAATATTTGCTAAAATTTTCAGTAGAGAGATCCAGTTAACTCAGCACTGGTTATTGAAAAGATGATTCCTTCTATGCTGCAGAGTAATCTTTACCTTTCAAATTTGCCTTCATTAGTAACAGTGTTGCAATATAACATGTACAGAAAGGTGTGTAGGACATACCATGTTCATGGTTTGGAATGGTGTCGGTTCTCACTAAAAGTATGTATAGATTCAGTGCAATCCCATTCAGAATATCAAGAGGCTTTTTGGTGGTGGTGGTGG